TAAATTGACGAAGTATTTAGAAGAATCCCTATAAAATGGATGGGAAATAAATACAATTACGCCCCATAATGAAAGGAGAATAGTTGTCTAGCACATTGATCAGTTCTATGGACACATAATATCGTTTGAAATGTCTACATTTACTGCAAGTAACGTTAGAATAAACTATTCTACCTATGTAAATACGGGGTGTGTGATAGACTTACCTCCTCGTGGTGCACCCTGGGCAACGTATACTCATACGGCAAAAAAGTCTATTAATCGGCAGTTGACTTCCGACTTCAAAACACCATCACCTCACTGTATGTCATATTCGACTACTTCCACAGTACTCACCTCACCTTTTTCACTCTACCTTTGGGTCTCTCTCTTTTACATCTTTGAATTACTCTTCTGTCCCCCCCCCTCCCCCTCTCGACTTTTGTCACTTTGATGTTCCTTCTTCTCTGTGAACCCTGAAGTCAACTAAAGGACTTATGATAACTATCAAAATGCCTGCCATTTGATATAAATAAATAAACCTATGTAAATACTAAGTAGGATGGATATCATCGAGATAGAAGGTGCATCAAATTTAGCGCTATCATAATGAGAAGCAGCAAATAATATCTAATAACCATCTAATTACGCCATTAATAAGTAGCATAAAGAGAAAACGCTGGAAACGCACCTGAGCCAGAGCTTCAGTCTTGGCAGTTTCACTGTGAGAAGCGGCACTTTTTGCAAGCTGGAGAGCATCCTCGGCTTCTCGCAGTTTGGCGCGAGCTTCATTCCGTGTTGCAGTGAGGGACTGTACCTCCTGACTTCGCGCTTCAGCAGCTCGTTCCAAATGGGCTAATTTCGCTTCCAGTTCCGTTTTTGCAGCTACCAGCGCACCGACTGTTTGGGAGTGCGCTCGAACCTGAAAAAAATGGCGTTAGGGTTTTGGTATTTCAATAGGTTATCGATGTAATGTTACGAAACTACTTCATAACTCAAGAGTAATATCATTATTCATATCCTTGAGAAACGGTTCGCTGACCATTTTGAAAAAAAGTACTTTAAACTTATCTTAGATATACTAAACAATGCATTGGGGTCTAGTGGTTAGTTTTCAATGTTAAAGCCTGGTTACACCCAGTTTGAATGCGTTCTAAAAAGCCTTTCAACAAGGGATTTAAGCACAAAGTACTTACCTGATCTCTGGCTTTAGCCAACTCGCGTTGAGTGGACACTTCCAAATTACGTTTCTCGTCTTCACTCGAGAGTTGGAGACGATGAAGTTGATCTCGAAGCGAAGCTATAGTTGCCACTACCCTATCGTGTCCCTCATTGCGTTGTTCAAGAAGGGCTGCCAGCTCTACATTTCGTTGCTAAGGTGAGAAGAGAAGGAATTTTAGCATAAGCTAGGCTCAGCAAACTAGTTTACTCCCAATCAAATATGCAACCAGGCGACTGGAAAGTGTGAAGAGTAAACCACTGAAGATTCTTCCTGTAAAAAATACTATTAAAGTTCTAAGTATGACTAAAAATTACTGTTGCTGATTTCACACAGGAATCAACCACAAACGGAGATAAAGTAACCGCAAACGTAACATTTATCGGGGGGGGGGGGGGGGGGGGACCAAATTCACACAAAAATGTTTAAATGCGACAATATTTAACTGAGACGATAAACTTGTAGTTTAGATTCTCACCTCATAAATGCATCAAAATAGAGTGCTACAACTAGATCATTGTCTCGTACACTGCAATCAAAATTTAAATTGAAATGCGAAATACTGTACAATCGAAACAAGCAACCAAATGTTGTCTTCGTCAATTTTGAGACAAATCAATTCACACACGAAGGAGAAATGGCGGTAAATTATCCCTCTAGATTTATTGGTCAGTTATACAGAAATGACGAGATTTCTTTATACAAAGCCGTGTCCGGGGAAACTTCATTCGTTCAACGCCACGAATCCGACTGGCTTTGAGATTCGGGTCAAGGAGAAAATGAGAGAACGCAAATTCTAAAATGCTCTTTCACAATGACACCGCCACTTCCACTTCCTCTTTAAACTGCAAATGACGTTTGGTTATGGAATTGTGAGAATACTCATAATAAAGAGAGGAGAATGGAACGAAATTTGGTTAGTTTTGGACTGGAATTGTACAATATTCACCTTAGTGAGAAACTTATTTTCCAACAGTTGAAATACTATATTCCTACCAAGGGGTATGCGATAGACTTACCTCCACGTGGTGCACCCTGGGCAACGTATATTCATACGTCAAAAAGTCTATTAACTGGCAGTTGACTTCTGACTTCAAGCTACTCTCACCCCATTGTATGTCATATTCGACTACTTCCACAGTACTCACCTCATCTTTTTTCCACCTTCGTCTTTGAAGCACTCTTCCGTTCCCCCCC